AGTGTTTCTTAATGTCAGCCATCTGCAATCACATTTAAATACCAGTATAGCTCTCTGCTTGTTCATTTAAATATCACTGAGCCATGTAATTTCAACTGCTGTTATGAACTTGTTCGTTCTTCTTTATAGCTTGCATAAAATGAAAGAAACTTCACTAAATATGATGAGAATATTGTCTGAAAAGATCACAGCTCCTGCTGTTTGAATATTGACTGTGTGAAATATTCTTCAAGGACTGTACCACTGACACTAGTGACCTGTGTAGTGCATGTTTCATTTCATGTCATTTCATTTATTGCATTCAAAGATCAATCACTGGTACAAGACCACAAGTAATAGAACTTTTCACAGAATATCATAAGCAATAGCAAAACAACATACATCTCTCAAAACATATATATATATATATATATATATATACACAACAAGCCATCATAAATCAAATGTTGTCAGTTATGTATGTGATATCTGTAATTAAAATAAATCTACAAGAACATAAAACCAATTACAGAATTATATCATAAAACAATATACCAATTAAAAATCTCCATCTATGGTTTAAAACAATCTATTTGTACTTGTTGCTACTAAAACTCTTGTTCCTTACTTCAGTCAACAACTTCACAATAACTACATCATTTTCATGTGTTTCACACTTCTCAGTCACAATATCCAATCATATCTTTAATTATTTGCTCTGTAGACAATTGCACAGATGATGTAAACAACGTTCCTTTTATGGAACAGCAGCAATAAAACGCAAAAATCTAAATCTTTGTTTCCAACAATAATATTCCTCTATGCTGTAGAAGGAATTTGTGAGAAGAAATCTCTTTAGGGCTGCTCTAAATTTGGAAGTGTCATTTATGAGTTAAGTCATTAGGCAGCTGTACACAGATCTTTGCCTCCCTCTGACTCAGATCATGTACAAAATGCATACAAAATTTGGCAGACTCACTTCAACACAGGACTTCAACTAGCAATTTTCAATGGCAGACTCAGTCTGACATAGGACTGCAGAGGGTGAAAGGAGATAAAGTTTTATAATATTAAAGCAGGTGACACTTACAAGTATATTAACCACATGTCTGTAAGGGTTAAACTTGATGTGCTACTCCAGAGTAACTCTGTGAAATATTGTCAGTTGTGTAGACACATTGCATAATGATTTTGTTTTAGGTGTTCTACATGTCAGCTGGGTTTCATAAACCAGAGGGACTTCAATCGCCACAATAGGCGGCATGCGAAGAACTACTTATGTGAGGTTTCTGATTGTGGGAAGCACTTTGAATGCTACACACACTTACTGAGGCATACAACACTGCATCATCCCACAGGTAGGTGTAGGACACAGTTTGAATGCTACACACACTTACCGAGTCATACAGCACTACACCATCATACAGGTGAGTGAGGGAAGCAGTTCGAATGCTACACACACTTGCTGAGGCATAAAGCACTACACCATCCTACTTTGCCAGAATTTTTCAAGTGAAAGTTCAACCTTTTGGATTATGTCACTGAACTTTCTCAGATTCTTCTCATAAATTTTGTTTTGTACCACTGTCAGCACAGGGAAGGAACAAGTAGTTATGTCAATTCAACACTTTTGCACCAATTGTACTAACTTCCACAAGAACAGTGTTCTGACTTATATGGTAAGTAAGTAAAGTAAGTAATCTGACTTATATGGTAAGTAAGTAAAGTAAGTAAAGTNGGGAAGGAACAAGTAGTTATGTCAATTCAACACTTTTGCACCAATTATACTAACTTCCATAAGAACAGTGTTCTGACTTATATGGTAAGTAAGTAAAGTAAGTAAAGCTATTCCTGTACCAGGCCGTGAAGGCTCATAGGGTTGTGAGACGTTGAGGGTCCCACATTATCTAGACAGTCGGCTCAAAGATGGCGGTAAGGTTTTGCATTAATGCCATTTCATACATATTTTTAAATTGTATAATTATCTGAAATGAAAAGAATTAGGATTAGCAGAGAGTCAATATGAATGGTATTAAATGCAATGGAACTGCATAACTTTCACTGAAAATTAAAGGCAGTGAAACCAGAAGAGTAGTAACAATTTCAAGTTACAAAACTGCTCTTGAGAACTTAGCTATCACATTTTAAGGGGATACACATGCATCAAACTGCACCTAAAGAGAGGCAGACTTCTTTTCTCCTGAATGCTACAATCACCGTTTATATACAACTCTACTAGGATGTAATAATTTAGAAGGTACAAATGTCATCTATAGCCTGATCCACATTTCCTGTTGTGACACTTTTCTATAAGTTCTTGAGTGAGAAGTGCAAAAAACGATGTTGGCGTTTGGACAGTAGGTACTGAAAGAGCAAGAAAATAATTCCTTAATTAATGATACTTCATATACAATTTGTTTTAGCCACAAAAGAATGTGTGCATTTTTGTCATGTCTAGCAANAACGATGTTGGCGTTTGGACAGTAGGTACTGAAAGAGCAAGAAAATGATTCCTTAATTAATGATGATACTTCATATACAATTTGTTTTAGCCACAAAAGAGTGTGTGCATTTTTGTCATGTCTAGCATTATGCACTTATATGTTATGCTTCCAGAATTCGTCTGTGATGTATGCAACAAAAGTTTCAAAGCAAAGTGTCGGCTGTTGACACATATGTCTGTTCACCAAGAATCATCACAAAGAGAAATGCTGTCCTGCCCATACAGCAACTGTGCACGGTGAGTACTTTTCTTTTCCTTGGCACCACAGCCCCAGTGGGCCTAGGCCTACCTCCATGAACTTCTCCGTTCACTTCGGTTTTTCTAGATCTTAAGACATATGGTAGGACTCCTTGGGCGGGTGATCAGCTTGTCACAAGACCTCTACCTGTACACAAACACAGAAAAACGCACACAAACATCCATGCCCTGAGTGGGATTCGAACCCACGATCTCGGCTTCCGAGCAAGCGAAGGCAGTGCATGCCTTAGACCGCTCGGCTACCGTGACCGGCGCGGTGAGTACTTAGCTGATCCAATTGTTTATGGAAGCTCACCATTGAATCACATCTATTTTTATTCAGCTAGTTTGCGTCTTTGTGTATTTCTCTGTAGTCCCCTTCTTTGGCTTGTGGGTTTACACAATTTACAAACCCTACACACTAATCTCTTCACGCTATCTTCAGTAGTCTTCACTTATTTACAGTATAACATGGGAGCTATACAAGTGTCGTTGAATTTCACACTCCCAGTACCTTCTCAGTTATCACAAACTATCACATACAGATTCTTCTAATCACGTGTTCAGTTCTTCTTCCTGCGGCTGCTTCATCTGACTGACTGACTTCTATTCTGCTGAACACTCCCAGATACTGGCTCGCACTGTCTACACAACATGGTTATTATTGATTTTCAAACTTACTTGAGTTGTTTTTGGCTCAGGTGAAGATCTGATAGAATGTTTTTTGTTTGTGTTTATTGTCGTAGCATCTTCATAACATATTTTTGAGAGCTGGTGTGTCTGACGTTTTGGCAGTGATATCCAAATTATTTGGTGCCAGGAAGAGTGCTTACTTAACATTCTTTATTTCACCTGTTGTGCTGGTATGTCATTGATCATCACATTAATGAAGATGATACTAGTGACTGCTTCGTGGGGTGGCCCTCTGCTGCTGATTTGCTGATATTTTGAGGTTTCATTTTCAACTTTTGTTGCAAATAAACATTGAGTAATGAAATCTTTGAAAATTTAAGCATTTTCTCTGAAACAGTATGTGTATAGAAACTAAATGGCATCACATCTCAGATGTCCATTGTTTTCACATGCTGCCATGAGAGCCTCAGCCCTCAGGTAAAGGATTGATTTCTTTGTAAAGCAAGAAAGTATATCAGTGTGGAAGTCATGTCTGTCCATTTGTCTGTGTGCGTGTGACTTAGTATGAGCACCTGAACAATTGAATGGATTTTCTTAGAATTTGATGTGGCAGAATTTCACTAAAGGTTTCAGGCAGTGCCAACTTTCAGCCACACTGATCCATGAAAGATCCCAGTTTGCAGAAGGTCATAAGTGGAATTTTCCATGTATCCATAAACAGTTCCACAGATTTGGTAAAACTCAGTATTGGAGACTTGCCAATTTATATATGACTGGCACCATCTTTAAGTAAGCGTGATAAAGTTTAGCAACTTCTGTTGCTAATTGTTTGTGCTGCATTATGGGGTGCAATCCACTCCAATCTTTTTTCACTATGCAGAAGAGAAACGTGGCAGAAACATAGAACTCTGTGTGTAGTTACTGATTCGATCACGATCACCATTGAACTCTAGTAGCTAGGCGAACACATGAAGTTACTAATCTGTTTGCTTATATTTTCCAGTTCATACTATCACAAAAGAAACCTTGTGTACCACATTGGTGTCAGTCACAAGGGGAAGAGACGGAACCATAGGCAGAGTGCAAAGGTGTGTTCACAGGTGATCTTCATATGTATTGTTATTTTTAAATGTTTCGGATCACAGAAGAATGAAATTCCTTCCTTAGAGCCCAATTTAGGCTGTGAATATCTGGCTGTTAATGAGTGTTGTAGAAAGTAAGTGACCAGTTTTTGTGAAACTTTATATGAAGACTGTGCTGCAACTGATTAACTGTTGAGGATGAAGTGTGAAATGTGGTGAAAAAGGTAAAGCTATCCCTGTACCAGGCTGTGAAGGCCCATAGGGTTGTGAGATGGTGGTAAGGTTGTCAGCCTTATGCGCCAGCTGCGCTTTACTCCCCAGGAAAATTATTTAATTAATTCCTGGTACTCATTTCTGTTAGAGGCTGAGTAAACCCCAGGGCCTAGTGTGGCTGGAAGGATTAGGTCAACTGAAAAAATCCAATGACCTCATCGGGACGTGAACCTGCAACCTTCCGGCTTGTAGCCCTTCAACCAATTACGCTGCTGCGTGCCCCATGAAATTTGGTATAGATGTAGTTTATAAGCAGATGTATAACTTTTATATGAATATTTATTCTTATGTACGATAAGACTTAACATAGGCCACAACACAGAGTACCGAGATATGTGTACATACCTTGATCAGATAGTTTTTGAATGACTGAAATATGAAACTACTGCAATTAGTACAAAACTTCTGTGCCAGGCATAGGTGCATTAGAATCTGCTGAGTCATTTCTGATTGGTTTGACAGTTGTAGCTTGTATCACTGAGAAGTAACATTCTGTGAAGTGAGCTTGCATTTTATGCCCACTCCACTTTGTGTTCTATCAGAAAATGGCTTTAAGCTAGGCAGAACTGTGCACCAAATGTTGACTAATGAGAAAGGGCAGCACATCTATGTGCATCAGGACCTTAAAAGAAAATGTCAGAGAGACTGACAGTCCTATTAGAAGGTCATCACAGGTGTAGCAGAAATTGATTCACCTGCATTTCTTATTGAAATCTTCCATTGTCTGATAGAACGCAAATCACATAGCACTTAACCTCACTTCATAAGCTGTCACTTTTCAGTGATGGAAGTTAGATTGTGAAATGTATGGCAAGTGAATTACCATACTCTACTCTACCTCCTCCAAGCAGAGAAGTTTTTAACTAACTGAAGGAGCATAGTTTTGTGGTCAGTCCAGAAAGTTTTTTTGTCACACCACATAATACCAAAGCCATGGAAATGCCCTCTGGATTAAGCCACTTCCACATCTCCCTCAACTGTTACACTTCTGTCTCAAGATTGCTCTAATTGAATGCCAGGTCTTGTGCAGGGTGGCGGATTCCCTGTTCGAAGATCCTGAAGAGCAGTATATGTACGACTTTATGGGTGACTTGGTCATTTACTTATTCACCTTCGAAGAGCACCTTACAACTTCATGGGGAAGTAACTAGAAATGGTGGGATTTACAATAACTATGAAAACGTCCATTTGGCTCAAGAGGAAATTAAATTTTTGGGACATTATCTGTCTGCACAGGTTGTTGAGATACTAGTTGAAAGAGTTGAGGCACTCTGTAAGTTTCTGCCTCCTAAGAATTTAAGGCTTGTGGTGGCTTTTTATGACCACTTTATTGAAAACTGTTCTCAACTAGTGGAGCTGTTTCACCCACAATTCAAGATGGTCCTAAATTGCATCCAGGTGGAATATCAACAGACTTTATTTGGCTGGTGGTGATCTAGCGCCTACTGTTTATTATAGTCTCCTATTGTCTCCTGCTGAGAGAAGGTACTCAGCCTGTGGGAAGGAATGTCTGGCAGTGATATTTGGCTGTGAAGAGTTCTGGTCGCATCTCAAACACAAAGATTTACCTTGCACATTGTTAGTCAGCCTTTGTCTTGTCTGTGTCACCATGCAAAGAAGTCAGATAGGATTGGTCATTGGATGCTTCTTCTTGCCCTGTTTTAGTTCATGGTTTATGACATTGCTGTCAAGACTGATCCAGTGGTGGATTGTCACTGAAATCTCGATTACATATGATTAAAGGTGTGGAACATGCAGGCCCTGGCATCGTGACTGACTGCAATCTGTTGGTCATCACTTTTTTAATTAGCTGTCTAGCAGCTTGAACTTTTATCACTGTGACATTTTGATAGTAACACACCTTTGTTAAATTGAGTCCTAGGTGAAGAAACCTTAATTGAGCTGGAACCTCACAGTAACATAGGGTGTGTAAGGCTTTCCTATGGCAGCTTTCTTGGGTGGGACTCTTTACTAGTCCCAGTTTCAGTAGGTGTCCTTTCCAGTGACAGCATCGTGTGACTAGTTCTTTTAAAGTGTCATGGCTGATTCCTGTTTAACTCTTAATAGTTCCCTAGTTCTTTTGGCAGAGAGTTCCCAAGATATGCCCTTTGCCTGTTTTAATTCAGTGTGGATTCCTGATATTTATTGTTGTCTCTATTCATCCAGTCCCTCTTCGTCCACTTGGTAACTTTCTCCAAGATACCACTGCCAGTTCAGGTCCTATTAATGGGTGTTCTAATCCAGCTGTTGCCAAGTGATTGGCAACATGATTCCCTTCAATTTCTCTGTGTCCAGACCCCATATCAGTTGCATCCTGATATGCTCAGCCAGTTTTGTTAGGAATTATTGGCAGTCCTAGACCAGTTTAGAGTCCTTAGCTGGCACTGGTCAAGTGCTCTGATTGCAGCTTGACTGACAGAATGTAGATGTTCCTGTTTGTATAGCCTTGGTCTGTATTTGCTGCTGCAGACACCTTCATGACATGTACTTCTGCCTGGAATAGTGTGATGTATTCCTCTGGACTTCTTCCTTGTGCCATATCCTGAGCACCAGTACTACATTTACTTTGTACCTGCCCATGTATATGATGCTAGTCTTTAATTTCTGTTTGGCTGACAAAAGCCCACTTCACCATTTGCTTTTGACAGGAAATCACACATGTGAATGGTGTGTTACATGTGTTACATGCATTGGTATCATGTTAGTGGTCCCCATCTAAAGTATGGGCTCTTTCCTTATGTTCCAAGACTGTCCATATTGTATGGAGTTGGGCTTCCATTGTTTTGTTGTTGTTGTTGTTGTTGTTGTTGTTGTTGTTGTTGTTAAAGGGATTTTCTGTGAATGCACATTTTTCCTCAACCCAAAGTTATAGTTTTTTCCTCCAGAGCTCTCAATCAAAACTTTCTTCATCCTTGGAGTTTTCTGCTTTGCATACTGCCAATAATCGCTTCCTTGTGTTGACTCATCTGCTGTGCCTCCTTTTCCTCTGTGGGTTCCATTCTGCAACCTGTCTAGTAAAACTGCAGTCCTCCATTCACATTAGATGACTGTACCATCTTAATTCCTGTTCTTCTGTATATACATACAAAATGATTGAAAGACTAATAAACAACTCAGAACTTATTGGTATTATTGTTAGTCTAGTGGATGTTAAGGTACTGATCAAGAAAGACATGCTTCTGAAGGTGAATATCAAGTTCACAGGGACATAGTAACATAAGCCAGTTGGTGCCTGTGACACATTGCAATTCTGATAAGTACAGAGTCAAAACTGTTTCAGAATGTCATCACACAGAACAAAGGAAGACACTTGGAAGGAAATGACACATGTGAGAAGAAGCCATTGGTCGTATCTAAAACTGACTTGCATGACAGTATCAGTTATGTATCTATGTATACTCTCAAAAATAGCAGCTGTTTTGGTGTATCAGCAGACGGCAATGCAAGTGATGGAGAGGTAAGTTGAACCTGACTTGACACAGTGTTGCTTGATTTCTTGTGCCTCCAGATACATTATCCTTTCTGACCTGTGCCCCATCTCGGCTATGGCACAGAATCCATTTCTGAGGTGGGAGTATTGACATCACAGATTATGTTCCCTTCAGATGAAGGGTTGTTTTGACAAGAAGGGAATGTGGTACCCACTTTGCCCATCCACCATGTTCTGATGCATTCTTGATACATTTTGCATGACTGTCATATCCATCTATCTTCATACTTCACCTCCAAAGATTTTACAAAATTTTTTGTTGCATATCAACACGTAAGTTTCTGTGCACATTTCACTGCAGTGTGTATCAATCCGCTGTAACCCTTGTTTTGCGTTAAACTCAAAATAAACTTTCCTGTACTTCTCAAATTGTGCTCATTTTAGAAAATGCTGGTGTTTGATATATTTTTAATAAGAAAATGTTTTTGATTTTTGTGGGACTGTTGTTTAAGACCAACACAGAAATTAATTGCAATTTCAGGTTCTCATGCTGATGAGGCATGTGACTCATCTGCCTTTCTAAATGCCATGTGTCTCTTAAAGCATGTACTCAACTGTGAACAGTGTTGTCATAGTTTGATCTGCATTTCCTGACATCCAGATTAACTGTAATCACATTAGTGACGGTTTTCTGAACTTAGAATTCTCTTTCATCCAGTTCATTTTTTTTTTATTGCTAGTGGGGTGGGACTAAGTCCCTTGTACTGCGACCACTTCTGGCCTATTGTACCAGCTCCAGATGATAGGTGAGGGTGATTGTGGAGCAATTGGTGGAATGAAGATTGGCAGGGGAAACCGAAGTCCTCGGAGAAAACCTGCCCCAGCACCACTTTGTCCAACACAAATCCCACTTGACCAGACCTGGGATCGAATCTGGGCCGCCGCGGTGGGAAGCCAGCGACTAACCGCTTGAGCTATGGCGGGACCTCATCCAATTCATACTTACAGTAAATTGTAATGGCATAATATCTGATACTGATTATATTGCATAACTTCAGCTTTTGTAGTTCATCATGCCATATGTTGAAACTGATCAATTGCTTTGACATACATTTCATCTGCCATTTTCATTAAAAGCTGGAACAGCTCCAACATACAGCACATTAACCCCCCAAGACTGTCAAAGTTTCTTATTAATAGCCCTTTTTATTCCTAAAATCATGTCTGCGAGTACTCTGACACTCAATTTTAGCCAGAAGACCAAAACAGACAATGCACTGACATGTGACTTCGGATTTTTAACAAGTTTACCTGTAAGCAGCAATTGTTTGCTGGTATGCATACCAGTGCATAGTGGCTGAAAATAAGCCTTACTCGTTAAATTGAGGCCATGAAGGCTCAAGAACAAGAACTGATTATACAGGGTGATTCATATAGAACTGGCCTGACAAAATGAGCTGTAATATAAAATATACCATACAGATATTAACCTTTATCCTACGGCCCTTTAAATTCATGTTTTCCCAGCAGAACGGAATTCTTTAAAGGGCCGCTCTTAGAGATCCGTAAAAGCTGTAAGTCACTTACTAAATTAGCTCCTATTTCTGCTATTTCTGTGATAAACAAACGAAATAAACGCTGTTTTTTTCTCGAAAGAATATAGAATCAGATATTGTAATTTACAGATTGTATAAAACATGTTAAAATTTTTGCACTGACTCCAAAAAGAAATTTGCCAATTTTTTTCCTTCTCTGCGAGAATTNTTATGTCGTAATTGTGAGTGGTTATATGCATCACCTGCGGAATTATTAGCAAATTCATCGGGCCGGTTCTATACGATTCATCCTGTATTATTTTACAGGACAACAAGATTATGATCAAAGTGGAACCTGCTTTGTATAGTGACACCCTACAGTCATCTTCCTATGGCCAAATACAACAGGAGGAGCAGTCGGTACTACATGCAGTAAAGACTGAAGCTCTGGTAAGTCATACATTTAGCAGCAAGCGGGTTAGCTCAGCAGAACCCTGTATTCCAATAATTTCTTAAACATCGTAGTCGGTGCAGCATCAGTAACTCTTTCATGGTCAGGCTATCCCCACTTGGCTGACATTCCCAGCTCTGATTTTTGGGCAATGATTGCATAAAGAGAATTGCGTGTTTTTCACCTGGCAAATGGATGCTCTCCTTGTCAGTATGAGGTATATACTATGGCTAAAACTTCAACAAAGGAATGACATCAAACTAATAATTGAAGTTAGGTAATTAAAAAGAAGACTGGAAGTGAGAATTCAATTTGTATCCCAAACTCTATCACCATCTGCACTTCCACTTTCCCATACGCCTTCATGGCAGGGACAACTTTACCTTACCTTACTTTACCACAATACTTACACATCACTTTAACAGCCATGGCTGCTGTTCGTACTGGTAAGAGTATAGAGTAAATTTCATAGTGTCATGAATGTTCTCTGTTGGGTCTGCTGTAGGAAATGGAAAGAACTGGAAAGTTACACTTTTATACAGGGTGTATCACTTAAAATGCAATACAGTCTACAACAGAGGGACAGACAGAGNTCCCACTCAGCAGCACATGATTTTGATGTGAAGTAATGTTTGAGAATGAACACATGCTCTGCTCGTGAATGCATGATGCATCTGTTCTACTGTGACAGCAGCCTAGCAACCACAGTCACATTGACTTGAGTGTCATGAGGAAAGTTAAAGAGGAACAGCTTCCGATTGCAATTCTATATTGCAGTACATTGTTATTGTTTGCAATTCTATATTGCATGGTACACCCTGTATTACACAAATGTGATAGAGATGCAGATACTAAACTTGTTTTCACATGCCTATGCAGTGAATGCTATAGAAGATCTATTGTTCACAGCATGGCATGGAGTCTGAGGGTCCCCTGTTGGCTGCAGACACACTGGTACTGAAGACTGAAACTCTAGTGAGTTCCCATTTTATTTGCATTGCTGAGTGACTGAGTCCTTGGGAAGCTAACAGTCTTCTGCCCTGAAGCTGGATGCAGTAGGTTCCTCCAAAACATTGGTAACCTCTTACCAGACTGCATGATATCGTAATTGAAACTAATGATTCAGCTGCTCAAGAAATTCCATGCCCTTTATACAGACTTAATACTCATAACCTGAAGATGGAGGCAGTGTTTATCTGAAACATGAGTTTCTACCATCGAGACTGCATGTTGTCAATACGTGTTCAGCTATTCAAGTAATTTCATTTAATTTATGGAATGCAAAGGTTCATTCCCGTGCTCATAGGGGCCTGCCACTGGTTCCTGTCCTGAGTAAATGCATCAGAACTGTGACATGGATTTGGGAGGAGGCACTTGTGGCCTCTTTGTACATATTGTCAGCCCATGTGCATGGAGAGACTAGGGTAAACTGTAGCAACCCTTGGCTGGGAGAACCAGTAACTGAACCAAGCTTCCGTGCATGTAACTTGAAGATAACAGTCAAGAATGCTGCAGCTGCTTGCTTTATCTCTGTTGATTTTGAGTATTCTGTAACCTTTATCATCCAGGAATAAGGGATCTTAAATTTGCTAGTAATATGGGCTAGGCATGCAGATTTTAAGTGAGGAGTACTGAAAATGCGATACCTCAGCCAGTTGGGCCATGCACATGTATCCATTGCAGTAGTGCAACGTGTGGCCATTGAAGTTTAAGCACTGTCTAATTCCAAACCATCATTTGATAAGTCAGTAAATAAACAGACACTGCCTCAGAACCTTGTATCTGGTATATAGTATACTGGCATTTGTAAATGGGGAGAGTGCATTCCCCAGCTGCGGTGAAGCCAACAAGCAAGTGTTCTTTGTTACGCCAGCATCTCTTGTGCTTCACATCTCTGTGATACCCCAGACAAAGGGACACTGATGGTTCCTGCAGACATTGTCCAATATAACCCAGTACATGCACAGCAAAACCTACACTAAGAAGTAATAACAGACATATTTGCACATGCCAACATCAGTTGGAAGTACCAATCAGAAACACAGTACACCACGCAGTTACAGACAAGTTATTGCATGCTACAAGAGGCAACCTACTTCATAATTAGCTGACATCTATATCAAAGAAACAGTGAAATTTTGAATGTTACCAGTCACCATCCAAGTAAAATTAAAATACTGTGGCATATTTGATCAACACATTGCCAGGCAGTATCTCTGTAAGCACAATACGCGCCTGCAACAGTAGAGCAAGCTGCGTTTTCCATGTGTCCGGCAGTTGACGTAAGGTCGGTGATGTCACACATCGACAGTAGGTGGCTGTCACCTGACATGTTTCTTGCCTGTCCATCAGCTGCAGTGATGTCACACAGCAACAGTGGGTAAGGGTCAAGTGATATGTGTTTCCTGTTTTTTAACACCTCACTGACCAGACGCCTCGGCCTAGGCATTTGGGTTTTAAACGTGGCAGACCAGTTGCCTAGATTTAGGCTTTTAGGACATGTTATGTTGCAGCACACTATTCCTCGCTTTGGTGGCCACATGTCTGTAAAAGTACTGCGTAGCTGACCTTCGGAATGTTTGTTTTCCGAGTCAGCAACATGACCACTTTCTATTCCCCTCTCACTCTAAAGAAAAGTCCCTTTGTTCAAGTTGAAGCTTCTATGTGTGAGGCAAGATATTCTCAGTGTCAACATGGCTCAGAGACGAAAGCAGTTGAAGGGCGCGCGAGCTCTCGGAGAAGAAGAAGTCTGTGATTGATCTCCAATGAGTTACTGACTTGCCAACTGCTTCGTCTTCTGATAGCGAGGGCAGTGTCAGTGGCAGTGACAGGGGCCCCCAAAATATTGTGACCAGAAGAGAAAGTGAAAGTGACAGTGAGAGCTCTGATGAAAGTGCGAGTGCTAGCATTGTGGGGACAGCCACATGGGGTAAAGTGGACAAAACACCGACTTCAGGAAAGTTTACTGGTGATCCAGGGGTGAGACAAATGCCATCGGACCCTACGCAAGTGTCTGAAGTAGCTGAAATGTTTTTTGGAGTCCTTGGAGGGGAAGGCTTCATTTTCGAACGTATAATCCTGGGAAACTCACAAAGTATGGCCTACTTGTTCGTGTAGTCATGGAAAGCACTTCAGGCTATATTGGAAATTTAGAAATTTATTCCGATGAAGGCAGGAAATTGCAAGAAACTATTGTTTCCATTTTGGATCCCTATCTGGATCAAAATTATCATGTTTATCAAGATAATTTTTATAACAGTGTGGCAACTGCAGAATACCTACTTTCAAGGAAAGTAAGTATTTGTGGTACAATTAGGGTGAACAGAGGCCTTACTCCAGATCTGAAAGAGGAATGTAAATCCCTGAAACGTGGTGACACCACATTCAGGAGGAAGGGGAACATTCTTCTTCAGTCCTGAAGGGATACTCGCGTTGTGAATATGGTTTCCACTATTCACAATTCGAGCATGGTTGATGTTCAAAGATGACATGGGCAAGTGAAGAAGAAGCCTCTTTGTATTTCTCAGTGCAATATGTTCATGAAGGGAGTTGATAGAGCCGACCAATACTTGGCCTATTATTCCCTTCCTAGGAAAACAGTAAAATGGACGAAGAAAGTTGCCTTGTGGCTTATAAATTGTGCCCTTTTCAATTCATTTTTGGTTTTCAAGGAGTTAAACGAAAATTCAACTTTGAAATACAAGGCATTTCTCATGAATGTGGTAAAAGCCTGGGCTACAGACCTCACGGTGGCAGCAGAACCTGCATCAGACACAGACGCAGTATGACCGTGACCATCTACTCCCACCTCACGGAGGCCTCATATGGACCACCCTGGGCGACTCTCGAGTGATATGCGGAAACATACCCTCGTGAAAATTGTGATGAGCGAACAATCGAAGGGGAAGTATCCTAGGCAGTGTCATGTGTGCGCTGTGCACAAGAAGCGAAGCAGTACTTCCTACATCTGCAAGTTCTGTGTCATGCCTCTTCACAGAAGGGAATGTTTCCAGAAATATCACACTCTGAAGCACTTCTAGGAGCTCTGGTAAGTCTTCTCTAAAAATTTTAGTTCATAAAATTAATTAGGAGATTTTATATTAATTTTTAAATTGAACAGTGCACAAGTTAGGGTAGTAGGTTTAAAAACGCCAGTCTCCAGGGTGATTTAAATATTTAAATCACCGGTCCGCAAAGTGTTAATGTCAGTCCCTTGGCTATATAAGTGAGTGACTGAGTGCTGAATTCTGAGTTCATCGGAGAGAGGAACAGTAGTTGCGGAAGTACGTGAGAGAGCAAATTGGAACTAGCAATGAGTCAGTGGCAGAGTTCTGAGTTCTGAGTTATCAGTAGGAGACAGCCATGGAAAGTCTGTTGTGTGGAGACTTGGTGTGATTAGAAGACTTTATTCATGTGTAATATTGGAATGAATTGAAGTGATAGTTTCTGTATTGAGATCCATTGCTGGGAGACAACTAGGGGCAACAGAGAATCCTAGTGCTTATGCAATGGTGAAGTGGAATGTGTGTAAAACAGTGATAGCACTATATTGCCTGTATTTAAATGTAATTAAGAGAGAGAGTGTAACTGAAGGGCTAATAAGTCCAATCGTCCGAACTAGAACCTGTCATTTTCATCACGCGTACCACCCTACACGTGACAATACTTTGTATAAGTGGCTCATGTTGTTGAATGAATGAATGTATAAGGGAGTGGGCCTTCTCGGCTCTTGCACTGTGACCTACAGTGATCTATTGTGCTTAGTGGCTCATGTTGCTAGTAGACAAGATATCCCTTCACTTTAGGTGATCACTGGATGAACGAAAAGTATGAGAAGAAGTTGTAATGCTGTCTTAACCTTCATCGCCGTGTATCACATAACTGTGATACACATGCAGCCCACCAGGCCTGACATTGCATTTTATCAATACAGGTATATGTTTGTCCCTGACTCTCAGTTTGACTGCCAGTGCTGTAGTGGCAGGTGATATAACCTAATTATGGCTGATAAAGATTGGTGTGACAGTTCTGTTACTACTATTCAAACAGCACAGAACTCTGTGCTCCTGCCACTGGATGTTACATTCCCCAAACAAGTGATCATACATTACATAACAAGCGTATACAGTATAAGGATGTTGTATTTCCTACGCCACCACATTCATGGCATGTTCAAACTTCATTTTATCGTTAATTTGGTTAGTTGGACATACTGTCACATGATAGAGTGACTGTAAATGGGGTTTGGTTTAGCGAAGCAGGCAACAGTACAAAAGCTGTTGCTAGGGAACAGCTCTGCAGACATGTTTATCCGGCAACGAGAGAAAACACAATAATGGAAGAGACATTTTCTGTGTAGTATCTGCTGATGCTATGTAACAATGACCAGCTACCTTAAACAGACATCCTTTAGACGGCAATTAGAAGATTAGGAGCTTGAGATAGTTGAGTCATTTGAGAGCTGCATTTATGAGAAATGATAAGCTGGTAGCTGTGGCCAGGGACAGTTCAGGAACCCAAAGGAAGGGGAACATCTGCTGTTGGAAGCCGCTACCGAGCAAGGGCTAATGATGACTGAGTAGAATGTAGGTTTACTGTAGTTACAGTGATGTTTGGAGTGTGTAAGTTGGTGAGACTGTCATAGTTATTTATAGTTGTGTTCTGTAAGTGTCCAGTGAATCTGATTACCAAGCCAAACACTGCATATAGTCACTCAATCATGTGACCATGTATTTTTCATGTAAGAAACAGAGATATATGTCAACTATGATTCTTGAGTCTTCCACTGCCTACTTGGCATTTGTATTATGTTAATTTCAGTCACATCATAAATGAAGTAAAACTGGTTGTGTTTTATTGCAGGAACAGTCACAAGATGTTCCTGAAGTTAAGCTTGAAATGAAAAATGAAATAATGACAGAGGATCATTGTGTTTGAATGTGGACAGGTGAGTGCATCATTAAATTCGTCATGTATAAGCAGAGAGACATGGGATATTGCCACTCTGAAGGAGGAGGTAACAGTAGAGGACAAGTTTGTAGTTACTGCACAAGTCTGTTGTTATGTTGACACTGCTGTTTACAGTTCAAAGCCCATGGAATGAAGCCCTGTGGACTGACTTCCTGTGTATCCCCCTTGAGATGTCATCCATTCCCCTCCAGCATACTACCCTATATTACTGTGACGTAGAAGTGAAGTGAAGTCNGCATATTTGGTATGACAGAAAAGAGGGTGTAGTTATGGTAGGTATCCTCTGAATGTTACATGTGTGTGTAGGTTGTTAGTCAGAATGATATGTTTTTTTTTTTTTTTTGCATTAGTATAACTACTTTTAAGAAGAGGGTGCAAAGTGAATTTCTAGTTCCTATTGAAGAATTTATTTTTGAATTTATATATTAGTTCTGTGTGACAGTGTGGTGGGTATAATGTATGTTGTTTTGGTCACAATAATGTCGAGTGTAAAGCGAAGTTGAATTTCTCTAGTGTGACGTTATATACTTGTGTGCGATATAGAGTGATGTGTAGTCAGGTTTTGTTGTGTTTGAGAATGTTAAGATTTCCATTCACGCACAGTGTATTCAAATTCTCCACTTTTATGTACATATCTAGTTCGCATGGAGAATTCTTGCTTATAACAAAGCGGTATGCTAAGTGAAAGACATGTTGTCATTAGTGTTATGCTGGGAATCCTGTTCAGTGACAGTGTATAATGTGAAAAATGGTGTGTAGAGTTATGTTATAGGATGAAGAATGATGGCAAGTGATTTGTAAGTTAGATGTGTATTTCGGTGTGATAGACAAGTGATTGCATTCTTGCCATCTGATCTTCCAGGCTTACATGTGCTAGCAGGTAGTATACAGCATGGGTGGAATTATTTTGTTTCCATCTAATAAACTGCTTAAAAATCACATTGTTTACAGGAAAGCACGAGATGTTACAGCTGACATTCTTGTAATTGTAACTTATAGTTTAGTCCTGAACATATATAGTGATGTGTTGGTTTCTTGTTTTAATGCTTAGGAGATTGTTGAAGGATATTTTCTTAGGTTCAGGTCGTAATAAGTGATTTGCCTATCTAATATTTGAGCACTACTATTGTGGGGTGGATACCTTTCATATAGAGTATATGTATATCCTTCACATATGTCGAGAAACATAATAAAGTTAACAATTGACACTTTTGAAAAGAGAATATTTCGGGAACTGTTGGAAATTGTAAGAGTCAATGAAGATAATTGTGATATCATGCACTTGGGAGCGTTCTGCAATGTCAATATTTCGTAAAAAAATGCGTTTATGGCCATTATAAATATCGAAATATATCCCAGGTTTCATAGATTACGTAGTTAGTANGTATATGTATATCCTTCACATATGTCGAGAAACATAATAAAGTTAACAATTGACACTTTTGAAAAGAGAATATTTCGGGAACTGTTGGAAATTGTAAGAGTCAATGAAGATAATTGTGATATCATGCACTTGGGAGCGTTCTGCAATGTCAATATTTCGTAAAAAAATGCGTTTATGGCCATTATAAATATCGAAATATATCCCAGGTTTCATAGATTACGTAGTTAGTATAACAGAAAAATATATGCAAGAGTTTATCATGTGAGAAAATTCGGAAATAAAATGTCCCGTGTAAATATATAATGATTTCATACGCTATCAGAGACGTTTAATCGTAAGATATTGCCGAAGGCTCGATGCGCAGTAGTCACTTGCGCACACCTATCATAATGTACACTCACAACCTAACATTAGCGTAAATTACCGAGCTTCGCCCCCTCCAAGATAGAGATGGATGCGCAGTAGTCTACTGCGCAAACCTAACCTAACCTAACCTAACATCAGCGAATCGTACCCAAGGGTACCCCCGGAGTTACAGTTGGATGCGCAGAAGTTCATTGCGCACACCTAAGAGTGACGTCATTTACGAAGCTGCTATTTCACCGAACGTAATATAGGACTGTCGTAGCATGGAATATAATTCGAAATGTGATATTATGTATAGAATTGTGCGTGTGGACTGTTTTTCCACCCATTATATCAATATATGCTCCTATATTCCGAAGCTATATCGCTACGTGGTAGCTTAGATTGTGTCGAAAACGCCACTCCCTCCTCAGGAGTTTGCGAATCCCCCACGGTCATACAAATGACTACTGAATATTACATATTATGACATTATGCTGCCCCCCAGTGGCATAACGTTATGACGAAAAATCTTTATTATCAGTGAAGTTCCCTTCCTTGTCGTGGATGGATACGCGACCAATTCAGAGACTGCTATTCGTATGTTTCGCCCGAATTTCCCTTCCTGAATAGGAAGTAGATTATAAATTATACACGAAAATGGGTAAAAAATAATGTGAAAAATTACCGTCCGGAAATGGAACTGATAATGGAATATTTCTGTTTCAGTCATGTTAAGCGGTTGGCTGCCCTGTTACTGTGACGTCAATATCCGGTGTTCAACATCAAGGTACGTTTCTTTCCTGGTACGAAGAGGTGTTTATAAATAATAATACAATGTTATATGTGTGTATGTTTATATATATATATATATATATATGTTCCAATTCTGATTAATAATCTGCCTGAAAGTATATCTTAAAAGATTCAGTGAGATAATGCAAATGGTAGGCTTTAATGTGTGTATTATCCTGGACCGAGTAATGGCGAGTGCACCAAATTTTACAAACTTGTGTTTCCTCTTCCACAACGAAATCAAAGTGCTTTCCCTCTAAATCATGAAAGTGAAGTACGTGTGAAGGAAGAATACACCATAACGCACATTTATTGATTTAACGAAAGTAAGTGCATATAAGAGTAGTGAGTGTGTAGTGAAAGACAATGTGTGTTTGAGGTTATTCTTGCACTATTATTAATAATCTTGTGTGAAGTATGTATAGTGATTTGCACAAAATGTGTTTAAGTGGTTATATGGATATAGAGTGAATTAGATTTTATGAGTGCATATTTGGTATGAGAGAAAAGAGGGTGTAGTTTTGGTATGTAGCCTCTGAACATGACAGGTGTGAGTAGGTTATTAGTCAGAATGATATACTTTTTTTTGCATTAGTATAAATACTTTTAAGAAGAGGGTGGAAAGTGAATTTCTAGTTTCTATTGAAGAATTTATTTTTGAATTTATATCTTAGTTCTGTGTGACAGTGTGTGGTGGGTATAATGTATGTTGTTTTGGTCACAATAATTTCTAGTGTAAAGCGAAGTTTAGATTCTCTATTGTGGCGTTATATTTTTGTGTGCGATATATAGAGTGATGTGTAGTCAGTTTTCGTAGTGTTTGAGAATGTTAAGATTTCCATTCACGCACAGTGTATTCAAATTCTCCACTTTTATGTACATATCTAGTTCGCATGGAGAATTCTTGCTTATAACAAAGCGGTATTCTAAGTGAAAGACATGTTCTCATTGGTGTTATGCTGGCAGTCCTGTTCATTGACAGTGTATAATGTGAACAATGGTGTGTAGAGTTATGTTATAGGATGAAGAATGTTGGCAAGTGATTTGTAAGTTAGATGTGTATTTCGGTGTGATAGACAAGTGATTGCATTCTTGCCATCTGATCTTCCAGGCTTACATGTGCTAGCAGGTAGTATACAGCATGGGGGAATTATTTTATTTCTATCTATTAAACTGCTTAAAAATCACATTGTTTACAGGAAAGCACGAGATGTTACAGCTGACATTCTTGTAATTGTTGATGTGGACAGTGACAGTGAAAACAGCACAGTAGCCATGAGCAAAGCCTGGACGATATAAGGAACCTCGACATCAAGATAGCCAGGTGGCACAATATCTGCCCCATATAAGAGGGACGATGGGAGGACGAACACGAGCCTGCATGGTTTACGAATTTTAAATATTGACAATTCAAAAAAATTTTTTAATTAGCATGAATAAATTTTATGCAATTTTATAAAAAACTTTACATTCCCAGGAAACTGCTGTGTTTGTGAAATGTTCAATTTTGTATACTGTGTATTGTAGCATATAAGTGTACGTACTTTACATCTAAACAACTTATGTGATGGTGGTTTCCTATTTGTAGTGATGTTTGCCCTCTGAAGATGGTCCACAGAGACCGAAACATGTAAGGGTGTTAAGTTTTCATGTAGTAAAAAACTTACAGGTCACATTGGGCGGAGTGATTTATATTTGTGGTTATAATTCAATTTAGGACGATGAAGTCAGTTGACATTACAGAGGAAAATACTGACTCCATCTTCAAGCTCAAAGGCTCTGCTTAGTTAGTTAGTTATTGGAGAGGGTTTGTTTCCCCATGTACTTAGACCAGTATTGGTCCATTGTGCTTATCTCTATGATATTCTACAAGTCTCTATACCCTATCGATATTGGTGTGTACCATCAGTCCCAACGTAGCCAGCGAGTTCGGCCTCTACTGGCTTGGCGGTATATATAATGCTTCCCCCATCTATCAGAGGGGTTAGAGACTATTGTTGGGCGGGAAACATCCTTCAATTTGGCTCAGTGACCTCCTTTGGAGATAGGTTCTTTTATGTGCCGTAAAGCTACGACACGGGACCCACGGCTTAAAGTCCGTCCCGGAAGACTTGTTCCCTGAATTTTTCCGCCTTTTAAAATTCCACGACCTTCGCCGGGTTTGAACCCTCGTACCATGAGTCATGAGGTGGTATCGTTACCTCTAGACTACGGAGACCGCTAAGGCTCTGCTTGCTGACAGCTTTATGCTGGTTTATTTCTTGGTCCACACTTCGACGTTGATGATGGAAGCAATACAATCCTCCAAAACATTGGTTGATTTTTAGCGCACTATACAACATTATATCCTAGTTGACAGAACTCTTCACAGTGAGAGCCCCAAACCAAACAAGTTGCATACTTGTTGGTTTATTCAATAGTTTTTCAAGTAACAAAAATCCGTAGTAGCTGTACAG